ACAGTCACCTTGCTTTTCCGAATTGGTGGGTTCCATAAAAGCAGTAAAATTGGGCGAGTAAAATCGATCCAAGTGTGACTAAACTGACGGTGCAAGGCGTTGCATTTGTAGTTCAACTGTTGGAGCGTTGGTTGCGTAAAGACATTCCCTACTATGCGGGTTTAAAGCCCGCCAAATGCCGCGAGTTTTTTTACAATTGGGTCAACTAAATTAAGCAAATCTGCCAAACTTCGTAAATAATTAGCATACTTCGTCGTACATACTAGGTCGGCCAGTCTCAGAGACACATAATATTCACGGTGGCGAGTCCGAGTTTGTGGATGCCGCATGAGTTATAGTGAATACACAAGGCTGGGAAAACAATAAAAGGCGTCCCAAGTTCAATTATAATCCGGCTAACGAAGACGATCATGGGAATCTCCAACCGCAGAGTAGGCGGAAACAAAGGACAACAGTAAGGCTGCGCTAACCTGCCAGTTTTTTTCCCCAGTTAGAGGTGGCCAGGGCATCGAGGAGGTCCCGAGTGCTCGTAACTAACCGGTCGTGCTTCATCCGGTATTCGTTATAGGCCTTCAGGGCAGCTGACACATCGGAGGAGTCCGCAGTTCGGAGTGGTGGTCTGTTTAGATGTGAGACATAAACAATCTCTACCCGGGCGCGAAGCAGAGCGAAAGCCTCAGTAGTTTGGGGATCAAGCGTTCGCAGGGTCGTATCATTGGAGAGGGGAAACCAGGTTGTCCAGAGCCCAAGAGCCTGATCCACGCCGTTATTTGTGCCTAACAGGGTGCGGAGTTTGTTTGTGCGTTCACTTAACAGCAGGAGAGACGCCATGGTATCAATCTTTTTGGAAGATGTCGTCTAAATGAGAGAGATAGGGAGCAATGGTGACCTTTCTGTAGTAATGTGGCAATACAGTCCGTATACAGAAGGGGTCATGAATATAAATGCACAGGGGGACTTTGCCTCAGATCGCGATAAACTTGATACTTCGGGTGTCGCAAACGTACGGTGATGCAATTTCACGGTAGCAAGAGGAAAACTTTAGAGAGAGGAAAGGAAATGTTTTTAAATAAAAATTTAGCAAAAGAAGGCGACATTTGGACTAGAGAAACGCATAGAACGACCGATTCTACGGTGACAGAATTTGGAGAGCCTAGTAAATTGCGTCACCTAAGCTAAAACCAGGAGGACGCGCTAGCAGACGGCTCTCGAGGAATAAAGTGTGGTTGTATGTTCGTCGTCCAGATACGCATAACAATGATCGCAAATAGTACAGGCGGTGAGAAGCGTCAAATCATGCCTCGGAATTACAGGGGGCCAGATAGTCGCCTGTACGGTATGTCGCTAAGGCCGTTCGCGGCTGATGGGAGCAGGCCGACAACAAAGTACAGACTTCTGGCCGCATTCTGATAGTGAATCTAAGCCCTAAGTGATGCTAGTACACGACTTCAAGCAAAAGTCGACCATGGCGAGCTATTAGGTTCATCACAGCTGGTGGCTTTCGCCCGAAATTGTTAATAGAACCAGTCTTCAATGCTGAAGTCGTTGCATCAGTTAAATTTCCATAAATGCCACAAGCGGAAGGAGTCATTATAGTCTGACCTATAGTGCAAGGGAGGACCGGAGAAACTTTTCCGCTGTTCATGACCTCCCTGCACGTGCGGATGGTTTGAAGTGCGTCAAATATACCATAGAAAGAAACGCCAGGTTACAAGAGTAAAGGAGATAAGCCCTGACAGCTGTAGCCGTTCATCAACGAGTGTCAAGATCCCTCGACCTCACTCGACAAGACAACTAGCCCGTGAATAGGGTGTTTCACTCTGATCAAGAGGGTTGCGAATTCGAGGATCGAATGGGACACCACTTTGGTCTGGATATAACTGGCTGACGACAGCTAATAAGTCAGAAATGGCCATCCTAGTCTCCCCTGTCTTTGTGGGAACCAGAGCAGATGCGTCTTCGAACCGCGTTCCCACCCGCCCTCCCGGCGGCCA